CCTTTAATCCCAGCTAGTCAGGAGGCTGAGGCAGGAGAATCACTGGAACCAGGAGGTGGAGGTTGTACTGAGCCAGGATGGTGCCACTGCACTCCAACCTGGGCAACAAAGCAAGATCTTTTTTTTTTTTTTTTTTGAGACGGAGTTTCGCTCTTGTTACCCAGGCTGGAGTGCAATGGCGCGATCTCGGCTCACCGCAACCTCCGCCTCCTGGGTTCAGGCAATTCTCCTGCCTCAGCCTCCTGAGTAGCTGGGATTACAGGCACGTGCCACCATGCCCAGCTAATTTTTTGTATTTTTAGTAGAGACGGGGTTTCACCATGTTGACCAGGATGGTCTCGATCTCTCGACCTCGTGATCCACCCGCCTTGGCCTCCCAAAGTGCTGGGATTACAGGCTTGAGCCACCGCGCCCGGCAAAGCAAGATCTTGTCTCAAAAAAAAAAAAAAAAAAAAAAAAAGGGACATGCAACTCAATAGATACTGCCATAATTAGCTGAACAAGGTGGTGCCCACCTGTAGTCCCAGCTACTTAGGAGGTTGAGGTGGGAGGATCACTTGAGCCTGGGAGGTTGAGGCTACAGTAAGCCATGATCACACCGCTGCACTCCAGCCTGGTTGACAGAGCAAGACCCTGTCCCCTGTCCTCACAAAAAAGACACTGCCACTTTACTAAAATCCCATGCAATCATTAATAGTCCAATCCATCATATTGCATGAATGCCTCCCAGGGTGATATCATTCAGGTTTGCAGGCTTCCATTCGATCTTGTCAGGTTCCAAAAGCAGGAGGGATCTCAACAAATATGCATTCACCCTTTCCAACATTTGGGATAATTGACCAGAGACAATATCATCTCTTGCTCTGAGCTGCTTTTGAGATGTTAATGTAATATTGGGTTTCCCTCAATTCATAAGCCATTTATTTCTTTACCCTCAACTACTATTCCTGCTTCTCTCCGTTAATATCCCAAGATTTTACCTTTGGAAGGGACACTCGGATTGCCACTGTGCTGGTCTAGATTGCAGGCAGCAATACTAGCCTAGTAAGTGCCTCTGTCTTAGTTCACTCTGATTTGAATAGGATGGCAAAGGTGCAGGACTTGCGGGCAATTTTTACCACCAGGCAGCATGGCCGCACTCATTATTAACTCCAGTTTTGGACAACCCACCTCCATCAGGCCTTTAGGAATGGTGGCATAAAGTTTAAAAATGTAATTCTAGTTTTTTGCTTAGAAATCATCCCTGCTGGGCCGGGCGCGGTGGCTCAAGCCTGTAATCCCAGCACTTTGGGAGGCCAAGGCGGGTGGATCACGAGGTCAGGAGATCGAGACCATCCTGGTCAAAATGGTGAAACCCCGTCTCTACTAAATATACAAAAAATTAGCTGGGCATGGTGGCGCGTGCCTGTAATCCCAGCTACTCAGGAGGCTGAGGCAGGAGAATTGCCTGAACCCAGGAGGCGGAGGTTGCAGTGAGCCGAGATCGCGCCATTGCACTCCAGCCTGGGTAACAAGAGCGAAACTCCGTCTCAAAAAAAAAAAAAAAAAGAAAGAAAGAAATCATCCCTGCTGCCAGCACTTTCCAGAACTCAGGGAAACACTTATGTTTACCAGTTTATAATAAAGGATACTACAAGTGGGGACTCTGATATTGTAGCAGCAGTCTTGATCCCAGGACAACACCAGGTAGAGGAGGGAAAGACATTTTTTGAAGTGATTTGGGGAAGAAAGAAAAACAATTATGGCCATTATACCAGTGTTCTCCTCCCCTGGCAAAAATTGCATATCATACCAGCATCTTCCTCACTCCCTTTTTCCCTGATCCACTGAAAAAATGAGGAGAATCTAGTGGGGCCATTTATTCCTTCAGTCTCCACTCATGTTGTATGTAAGCAACATGTAAGCCAGCCCTTCATGCTTTCATCTCCCCCTGTTTTAGACAACAAATGTTTCAATTATCCACTCCACTTCTCCATCAAACTATGACTTTGAGGAGGATATCTCTCTGCCCATTATTATTATTTTATTTTTCTTTTCTTTTTTCTTTTTTTTTTTTTTTGAGACGGAGTTTCGCTCTTGTTACCCAGGTTGGAGTACAATGGCGCGATCTCGGCTCACTGCAACCTCCGCCTCCTGGGTTCAGGCAATTCTCCTGCCTCAGCCTCCTGAGTAGCTGGGACTACAGGCACGTGCCACCATGCCCAGCTAACTTTTTGTATTTTTAGTAGAGACGGGGTTTCACCATGTTGACCAGGATGGTCTCGATCTCTTGACCTCATGATCCACCCGCCTCGGCCTTCGAAAGTGCTGGGATTACAGGCTTGAGCCACTGCGCCCGGCCTTTTATTTTCTTTTTTGTTGTTGTTGACAGGGTCTTGCTCTGGTTTTTCTTTGCTTTTTTTTTTTTTTCAGACAAGGTCTTGGAGTTCATAGAGTGCAATGGTGCAATCTTGGCTTGATGCAACCTCTGCCTCCCAGTCCAAGCAATCCTCCTGCCTCAGCCTCCCAAGTAGCGGGGGAGTTGCACGTGTATTTTTGATGTAAGAAATTTGCCTTTTTTGGCCGGGCGCGGTGGCTCAAGCCTGTAATCCCAGCACTTTGGGAGGCCGAGGCGGGTGGATCACAAGGTCGAGAGATCGAGACCAACCTGGTCAACATGGTGAAACCCTGTCTCTATTAAAAATACAAAAAATTAGCTGTGCATGGTGGCACGTGCCTGTAATCCCAGCTACTCAGGAGGCTGAGGCAAGAGAATTGCCTGAACCCAGGAGGCGGAGGTTGTGGTGAGCCGAGATAGCGCCATTGCACTCCAGCCTGGGTAACAAGAGCGAAACTCCGTCTCAAAAAAAAAAAAAAAGAAAGAAATTTGCGTTTTTAAAGGACGGGTCAATAGGTGCAGCAAACCACCATGGCATACGTATACCTACGTAATAAACCTGCATGGTCTGCACGTGTATCCCAGAAGCTGAAGTAAAATAAAAAATAAAAAAAGAAAAAAACTTGGGTTTGGAGGCCAGGCACAGTGGCTCATGCCTGTAATCCCAGCACGTTGGGAGGCTGAAACAGATGGATCACTTGAGGTCAGGAGTTCAAGACCAGCCTGGCCAACATGATGAAATCCCATCTCTACTAAAAATACAAAAATTAGCAAAGCATGGTGGCACATGCTTGTAATCCTAGTTACTTGGGAGGCTGAGGCAGGAGGATCACTTGAACCTGGGAGGTAGAGGCTGGAGTGAGCCAAGATCATTCCACTGCACTCCAGCCTGGGCGACAGAGCCTCCTTCTCAAAAAAAATTGGGGTGTGAAGACCAGAGATGAACCGTGACATTGTGAAGTAGATATTTGGTCTTTATCCTCATTTTCTGGCATATAATTCCTAAAATCCTTGGAATCTCCAAAGTATGCTAATTATTTCTTATTTGTTTAGTGTTTTTTTTTTTTTTTGAGATGGAGTTTCACTCTTGTCACCCAGGCTGGAGTGCAATGGCGCGATCTCGGCTCACTGCAACCTCCGCCTCCTGGGCTCAGGCAATTCTCCTGCCTCAGCCTCCTGAGTAGCTGGGATTACAGGCACGCACCACCATGCCCAGCTAATTTTTTGTATTTTTAGTAGAGACGGGGTTTCACCATGTTGACCTGGATGGTCTCGATCTCTTGACCTCATGATCCACCCGCCTCGGCCTCCCAAAGTGCTGGTATTACAGGCTTGAGCCACCGCGCCCGGCCATTTGTTTAGTTTTTAGAGATAGGATCTCACTGTGTTGCCCAGGCTGAACTTGAATTTCTAGGCTCACTATCTCCCACGTCAGCCTCTCGAGTAGCTGGGACTATAGGTGTATGTTACCATGCTTTGTATACTGATGATTGACTGATGGCTACTAGTCCCTAGGCAGCTTCAGGATGGGGGTGGTCACTGGGAAGACCAAGGCAGGGTTAGAGGGTTGGGACTTTCAGCTCCACCCACTGAAAGTTAAGTTGATCACCAATGGCCAGTGGTTTAATCAATCATTCCTATGTAATGAAGCCTCGGTAAAAAACCCAAAAAGACAGGGTTCCAAGAGCTTCCCAATAGCTGAACACATGGATGTTCCTGGAGGATGCTGTGCCCATTCTCCCTTACCTCACCCGACACATCTCTTCATGTAGCCTTTGTAAATCCTGTACAATAAACTGCTAACTGTGTTTCCCTGCACTCTAGGAGCCTCTCTAGCAAATTAATTGAGCCCAAAGAAAGGGCCATGAGGTCAGGCACAGTGGCTCACACCTGTAATCCCAGCATTTTGGGAGGCCGAGGTGAGTGGATCACCTGAGGTCAGGAGTTGGAAACCACCCTGACCAATATGGTGAAACCTCGTCTCTACTGAAAATACAAAAAGTAGCTGGGAGTGGTGGTGTGTGCCTGTTGTCCCAGCTACTTGGGACACTGAAGCAGAAGAATTGCTTGAACCCAGGAGGTGGAAGTTGCAGTGAGCTGAGACCACGCCACTGCTCTCCAGCCTGAGGGACAGAGCCACACTCCGTCTCAAAAAAAAAAAAAAAAAAAAAAAAAAAAAGAAAAGAAAAGAAAAGAAAAGAAAAAAAGAAGAGAACTTGTAACCAGTCGGAAGTTCCAGAAGCCCTGATTTGCGTCTTGGGGGTCAGCGTTGAGGAATCCCTCAACCTGTAGGATCCGATGCTATCTCCAGGTATACACAGTTTCAGAATCGAATGAGAGGCTGGGTGCAGTGGCCTATGCCTGTAATCCCAGCACTCTGAGAGGCTGAGGCAGGCAGAGCCCTTGAGCCCAGGAGTTGAAGACCAGCCTGGCCAGCATGGCGACACCCCATCTCTACAAAAAAATACAAAAATTAGCCGGGCATGATGTTCACTCCTATAGTCCCAGCTACTCGAGAGGCTGAGGCAGGAGGATTGCTTGAACCCAGGAGGTCAAGGCTGCAGTGAGCCGTGGTTGAGCCAACCTTGGTAACAAAGTGAGACCCATCTGAAGAGAAGAAAAAGTGCTCACTTTAGCAGCACATATACTGAAATTGGAACAATACGGAGATTAGCATGGCCCCTTGGCAAGGATCATATGCAAATCTGTGAAGTGTTCCATATTTTTATTTTAATAATTTTTTTAGAAATTGGATCGGAGGACACCCAGCTAGTATCTGCTGCTTGGGGTGCGGGAAAAATCCCCACCCACACATCTGGTCACAGAAGTCTTCTGTGGCGATTGTTGTGTTGAGTGAGAGCATAGAAAATGCACATTAGGTTTTTTGGGTTATTTTCTTTCCTCTTAGCTGTGTAGCAGGCTCAGGCCATGAAACTATGCTGCCACTTCTGATTATACGATCCTACAGATGCAATGTTGCTGGCTATATCCATGTAAAGATGGATAAAGATTCCGTAGCGGGTGGGGGGAAGATTCTGTAGAGAGTCTCTGAAAGCCCAAATAGGAGAATTGCAGTTAGGATTCTTAGGATTCTGGAGTAAGGCTATGCTTACTGTGGTCCCCTTGGGAAAAGAGACCCTGATGTGTCACCAGGCCCCAGTAGTGACTAAGCATCTGACTGAATGCCAGGTAGCTATAGATCCTAAGTTGGGTATTATCAGAAAGGTAGAGCAGCAATTCACTATGTGATGGAAGCCAGGCGCATTGGCTCACACCTGTAATTCCAGCACTTCGAGAGCCCCAGGCAGAAGGACCACTTGAAGCCAGGAGTTGGAGACCAGCCTGGGGAATGTAGTGAGACCTCCATCTCTACAAGAAATATAAAAATTAGCTGGGTGTGGTGGCACATGCCTGTATTCCCAGCTACTTGGGAGGCTGAGGTGGGAGGATTGCTTGAGCCTAGGAAGTCGAGGCTGTGGTAAGCTATGATTGTACCACTGCACTCCAGCCTGGGCGACAGAACGAGACCCTGTCCCTAACAAACCAACCAACCAACAAAACAGCAAAGAGGCTGGACGCAGCGGCTCACCCTGTAGTCTCAGCACTTCGGTAGGCCGGGTGGGCGGATCACCTGAGGTCTGGAGTTCAAGAACAGCCTGGCCAACATGGCGAAACCCCAACTCTACTAAAATACAAAAAAAAAAAAAAAAAAAAAAAATTAGCAGAGCATGGTGGCTCAAACCTGTAATCTCAGCTACTCGGGAAGCTGAAGCAGGAGAATCGCTTGAACCTGGGAGGCAGAGGTTGCAGTGAGCTGAGATCGAGCCACTGCACTCCAGCCTGGTGACAGAGCGAGACTCCGTTAAAAAAAAAAAAAAGAAAAAGAAAAAAAAGAAAAGAAATGAGTCCAACAACTTGGGCTTCTTCTCACCAAAGCTGATTTAGTAATTGCCAAAATATAGCCAGTCTACCAGCAGCAGGTAGCAATATGGCAAAATTGTTCAATGAAAATAGCCAACCATCTGGTGGCAGGTCGATTATTTCAGACTCCTTCCACCCTGGGAGAAGGCAATGATTCATCCTTACTGGAATTTCTATGTTCTCCAACTATATGTTGCATTTCTGACCCATAGTGCTTCTGCAAGCATCACCATCCAAAGGCTTTAAAGAATGTTAAGTTCATTACCTAGGGCCAGGGGACTCATCTTGAAACTCAAGATGTATCATGATGGCCACATGAACACAGGCTTCACTGGTCTTACCATATGCCCATGACCCAGAAGCAGCCAGCCTGAGAGAACAATGGAACAAAGCGACTTAATTTCCAAAGTTCTGGGGGATTATAAACAGCATATGATACGTCACAAGACTACTGTGGGGTTGGAAAAAAGATCACGTAAATAGTGCACTTTGCACAGACCATGGCATGCAGAAAGTGCTCAATAAATGGTAGGTGTTGTTTATTAATTGGAATGAATGGTGAAGGGCCTCTGTGCCCGGGGGGAACTGGTGATCAGGCTTCACTAAACCCAGTATGGCTGTGGTTCTCACTATAGTGTGACATGCTTTGAATACCCTAACGGCTCCAGAAGTCCTCAGCTTGAATTACATTTTTCTGCCAGCAGGCAGCACACAAATGCTTCTGCTGGGTGGATGGGGAGGTGGGCGGGGGTGGGGAGGGGGGGAATGAAACTCTGCAGAGTGCAGGAACTGGGAGAGAGGAAAAAACGAAACTCTGCAGAGCGCGGAAATAGAAACTCCGACAGGGATTGGCTGCCTGGGGTAAGATGTGGGGGGAGGTGAGAGTGATGATAAAAAGCCAGCCTTCAGCCAGAGAACCGTTTACTCGCCGCTGCGCCCATCTATCAGCGGGCTCCGGGCAGGAAGATTGCTTCTCTTCTCTCCTCCAAGGTAAACTCAGGCGCTATGAAGTGTGGGCATCAAGCTGCCACCCTCTGCCAGGCTGCCTGCCTGCCTATAAACATGTTCTGAGAGCTGGGAGGCCCCTTCTCCAGGGAGGCAGCGTCCCTGGGTCCCTTTTAGTGCCCTGGGCTGGACTTGCCTAAAAGGGTGGGTGGGAGATTTTAGGGAGATGGGGATACAAAACCCCAAGAGGCATGAGATGCAGCTTACATGTGCCACATCAGTGATCTGTGGCTTTAACCTTGTCACCTCTTGGAGCCTTAATTACTTACTCTGTAAAAGGAAGATTAAGTTGTCTTACCTGCTCAAAGGATTGGATGATTTTAGAAGCCCCTTTATTATAGGATCCAATGTGACAGTGAGTTCATCTTTGAGGATAGATGAAACTATCTGGAGTGGCTGTTGAAAATGTGGGCTTGGGTATTAGCCAATTGTGGTTTTAAATCCTGACTTTGCCACACCCTGGCTAGGTACCCTTGAAAATATTACTTAACCTCTCTGAGGTTCAGTTTCCTTATCTGTAACATGTGGTTGATAACAGTGGTACCTACTTCATGGGGTTGTTATAGGTACAGGTGGACCTCACACCAAAAAGTGCTAAGTATTCGATACATGAGAGGAGTTTCTTGTTTTTCTTTTTAATTTAAAGAAATAGCATTGAGCTGACAAAGATCACATTGGAGGTGAGTCTGAGGGCATATGCATCTTCCAGTTTTGTGATATAAAGGAAAGAGTTCTAAAAAAAGAAATAAAAGAAAGGGAAAAAAACCGGAAAAAACTAAAAATGAAAAAATAAAATAAAGAGTTCTGAATTCTGACAGTCTTGAATGTGTATCCACATTGCACAATTTGCTATGTGACCTTTATTCGTTGTGATATTGTGAAATATATATTCTGATCCCCGGTTCCTGGCATACAACTCCTAAAATCCTCATAAGCTTCAAAGCAATAACTATCTTTTGAGTGATAATTGTGTGATAAGCTGACTGATGGCTGGCAGTTCCTCTGGGGAGGGGAGAGGGGCGGAAGGTTAAGCTGATCACCAATGGGCAATGATCTAATCAATTGTGCCTATGTAATAAAGCCTCCATAAAAACACGAAAGGCCAGGGTTTTATGAGCTTCCAGATAGCCGAATACAGGGAGGTTCCAAGTGGGTGGTGCTTCTGGAGAGAAATGGAAACTGCATGTCCTTTCTCCCACACGTGCCCTATGCGTCTCTTCATCTGTAGCCTTTGTAATATCCTTTCTACGGAACCAGTAAATGTGGCTGGGCATGGTGGCTGAAGCCTGTAATCCCGGTACTGTAGGAGGCTGAAGCAGGCAGATAGCTTGAGTTAAGGCATTCAAGACCAGCCTGGGTAACATGGTAAACTCCCATCTCAAAATAAAATAAAATAAAATAAAAAATTAATTGGGCATGGTGGTGCATGCTTGTGGTCCCAGGTCCTCTGGAGGCTGAGGCAGGATGATCTCTTGAGCCTGGGAGGTGAAGGTTGCAATGAGCTGGAATGGAGCCACGTGCTCTTCAGCCTGAGCAACAGAGTGAGACCCGGTCTAAAACAACAACAACAAAACCAATTTTTTTTTTTTTTTTTTTTTTTTTTTTTTAAAGAAACCAGTAAATGTAAGGAAAGTGTTTCCCCGAGTTCTGTGAGCTGCTCCAGCAAATGAACAAAGCTCCAGGAGGGAATTGTGGGAACCCCAATTTACAGTCAGTCAGAAGCAGTTATACAGGAGAAAGCGGGGATACAGGTAAAACAACCTAGGGCTTTCGATTGGCAGTCTGGGTGACTGAACCCTCAACTCGTGGGATTGGCCACTAGCTACGCATAGCTTGCGTCAGAATTGATTTCGAGGACCCTCAGCTGGTGTTCAGCAGAGGGCTGATTGCTTGCTTGCTGGTGGGGAGAAACCCCCACACATCCGCTGTCAGAAGCCCCTTGTACAGTGAGGGAAACTGAGTTACTTTTTCCACACGCCCTTCTGTGCTTCTTTTCTGAAAAAATTAAGTTGATGTGAGGCCAATGTTTTGGTGACTGTAGATATTCAATGCATTATAAGAGTGAGTTTATCTTTTAAAAAATTGTTTTAAGCAAATTCTATGCATCAGGTACTGTGTTCTAAGTGCCGGGGATACAGCGTGGAACAGTTTATAAATTCACAAGTACACTCTCAACTAGGCTCTTTTGGAGCAAAGTACCCTAGTATCCGGTCCAAGGTCACTTGGCCACAAGGCCAAGAACAACCACAGTCATGACATTGACATCTGCGGAGCTTACCGTGTGCCAGACACCGTGAGAACCGGTGGGAGCAGGGACATCTCTGCCACTGATGCCGAGAAGAAACGGATTCCCGAGGCTCCTGAGAGGGGTCCTGGATTCCGTTCACTGCACCTCGCTGCATTTTACTGATTCAGTCTCGAATTGGAAGGGAAAACCACGGAGCTGAAGAGCTCCAAAAAGGCCCCGGGGACCATCTCCCTTTTGCCTGTTCCGAAGTGCGGTGACGGAGCCTGCGCGCGGCGCCACCATGCGGCAGAAGGCGGTATCGCTTTTCTTGTGCTACTTGCTGCTCTTCACCTGCAGCGGAGTGGAGGCAGGTAAGGATGCAGGTAAGGGGACAGGTAAGGAGGCAGATAAGGGTGCTGGAGGATGGGCGGCGTGTGGGATAAAGGGGAGAGTTTCATGTAGAGACCCTGGCCTGCTTCCGTAGAGACCCTGGCGTCCATTCCAATGGAAAGCCCGGGGTTGGTGTCTGCAGAGTCCCGGATTCAAATCTCACTACTCTATCCATTCCTCCATCCTACCGAAATTTATTCCATGCCAGTTCTGTGCCAGGCTCGGCGCCTTGGGAAAAGTCCCTTCCCCTCTGTGAGGCTCTCTGAGTAGGAGAGTGGCGGCCCCCGCATCCTGGAGTAGTCCTGAGCATCAGACACAGAGTAGGGGACCCCTGCGCCCCACCTCAAAGCCTCTACTACGCTTTGTCCACTCTTCTGCAGGCAAGAAAAAGAGCTCGGAGGACAGCGGCTCCGGGTTCTGGAACGCCCTGACCTACATGGCGGTCGGAGGAGGTGGGTCTGGAGGGCGGGGAACTCGGGCAGGTGGGACGGGCCTCTGCTGCGGGCGCTCCCTCACCCGCTCGTGTTCCTCCAGGACTCGCGGTTGCCGCGCTGCCGGCGCTGGGCTTCACCGGCGCGGGCATCGCGGCCAACTCGATGGCTGCCTCGCTGATGAGCTGGTCTGCGATCGCGAACGGGGGCGGTGTGCCCGCTGGGGGTCTGGTGGCCACGCTGCAGAGCCTCGGTGAGTGCACCGCCTGGGCCCCTGGTGGGACGTTCTTTACTGCTATTATTTTCGTCATACATATGGGGAAACTGAGGCACTCAGGAAGTAATTTACTCAAGTAATTAAGTAGTTTACTAGGAATTAAGTGCTTATTTATTTTTGAGACGGAGTCTGGCTCTGTCACCCAGGCAGGTTGGAGTGCAGTGTCCCGATCTTGGCTCACTGCAACCTCTGCCTCCTGGGTTCAAGCAATTCTCCTGCCACAGCCTCCCAAGTAGCTGGGATTGCAGGTGCATGCCACCACACCTCTGGCTAATTTTTGTATTTTTAGTAGAGATGGGGTTTCATCTTGTTGGCCAGGCTGGCCTTGAACTCTTGACCTCAGCTGATCCGCCTATCTCAGCTCCCCAAAGTGCTGGGATTACAGACATGAGCCACTGCACCCGGCCAGGAAATAAGTAATGTGCTCAAGTCTCCCTGCTAGTTTAGACCAGAGCCTACATTCTGACCCAGTCAGTATGATGGCAGGAGCCCCATTCTCAACCTCAAAGTCTGGGTGCCCCACTGATGCTTTGGCCAAATCACAACAAGCCTCAGTTTTCTCATCTGTCCATTGGGATGATCTTCCTCAGTTTAACATTTTTTGAATCTGCTCAGTCTCAGAGACCACAGTGGCAAAGACACGAAGTAGAGTAACTCAAATCAATCTCACACCAACCTTGGTCTTGACTTGCATTTTTTGAACACCTTAAAGGGAACAGATACAGAGTTCACAGTGACTCTCCCATCTATCGATTGATCGGTCTGTTGATCTATTTATCTATGTCAAAACAAAGTCTCACACTGCCCAGGTTGGAATGCAGTGCGTGATCACAGCTCACAGGAGCCTCGAACTCCCGGTTTCAACCTATCCTCCTGCTTCGGGGTCCCAAGTAGCTGGGACTACCGGCGCATACTGCCACCACACCGGCTAATTTGTTTTGTTTGTTTGTTTGTTTTGTAGAGACAGGGTCTCATTGTTTTGCCCAGGATGGTCTTGAATTCCTGGGCTCAAGCCATCCTCCCACTTTGGCCTCCCAAAGTGTTAGGATTACAAGCATGAGCCACTGTGCCTGCCCAGAGTGACTCATAAAAAATTGCCTCACTTCCTTCTCTCTCCTCTCTCCCCTCCCACCACCACCTCTCTCTCTGAGGCCTCCAAAATCCTGGAGAAAACCTGCCCCTGACAAACTTCCCTCTGCCTTTCTGAACCTCACATCTCTCAATTCTGGACAGTCAAAGTCCAAAGAACCAGCCCAAAAGAAGAGAGCCCTGCTCAGAGGGGGCCACAGCCCTGCCATGGGAGGGGAGGAGGGGGCGAGCCCAGGGACACCTCTGGGCTGTAAGATAGTTGTCCTCTCACATGCCACATAGCTGTGACAAAATCATATGATCCCTGTCTTGTGAATCCCCCCACCCACATGGTGAGGGCTCCACGGAGGAGGCTGTTAGCATGATTAGTAACACCATGTTTTCATGGCAGACATGAAGTGAAGGAGCCATTTTTTCTGCCACTTTCATCACTGAAACACATCTCTGATTTGGGCTGTCAAGGCAGGGTAAAAATGGGACACACTTGGTAGTAGTGCCATTCCCTCTCAGGGCCTTTGTTTCTCCATCTAGAAATGAGGGCTTGGACTTAAACAATGGTTTCCAGACATTTGGATTCCCAGGCCTGGCACTTGGGCCCCAGTGACTCATGTGTGTTTCTTTACAGGGGCTGGTGGCAGCAGCGTCGTCTTGGGAAAGATTGGTGCCCTGCTGGGCTATGCTACACACAAGTACGTAGATAGCAAGGAGGCAGAGGATGAGGAGTAGCCAGCAGCTCCCAGGACCTCTTCTTCCTCCTTGCCCTAACTCTGCCAGTTAGTATCTAGAACTTTCCCTAGAACTCACAAATGGGGGTCTCACTATGTTGTCCAGGCTAGAGTGCAGTGACTATTCACAGATGCAATCATAGCGCACTGCAGCCTCCAACTCCTCGCCTCAAGCGATCCTCCTGCCTCAACCTCCCAAGTAGGATTACAAGCATGTACTGACCACCCAGAATCTAGAATTTTCTCTGTCACTCTCCCCAAAACTAGATGAGAAAACAGAATAAAGTTATCCCAGAAAACACTTCGTCCTGCTGTCAGTCATGTTTGCAGTGAGAAGCCCAGCACAATCTGGCTGTGGCCTGCGTTATCCATACACCCCCATTCCCATTTCCTCTCGAGTCAGCCGCAGCCCCCGGAACACAACCAGTCAGTTTTGTTTCTGGGCCTTAGTGCATGTTGGTCTCTCTGCCCAGAATGCCTCTGGAAGCTCATCTGCCTGAAAAAACGCCCTTCCATCCTTCCAGACTCAGTTCAGACATACCATCCTCTGGACTTCTGCCTAGCAGGGCGTCCTGTCTAAATGGGCAAGCTCGATTCCACAGGGTGCCTGGGGAGGCAGAACTCGGTTTGTTCTCACTGAGAGAAGCTTCCTGCTACTTCTCTGATTAGGCAGAGATGGAGAAGACAGGTCTCTGCTCTCTCATGATGGGATCACCTTCAGATGGAGAATGTAAGGCCAGCCCATCGCTCTGGGGAAAGGGCGTAACAGCAGCTTTGTGAGAGCTCCGCAAGGCCTCCCTTTCCTCATAGGACTCAGGATAGGGAGAAGAGTTTGCATATGGAGTTCATAGCTCTTCTGCATAGGAGGGAAAGGACAGCCCAAGCACATGGGAAGCTCTCCGTAAATGTCAGTTATGATTGATTAAGGACTTGCATAAACAAAGAGGAAACAGCCAAGTGACAACCAGAAGTTAGATCATCTGACTTTGGAGTCAGGGTTTACTCTCCAGGGCTCACAGGCCCTATTCTTCCTTGCTTCCAAAGCTGGGTACCAGATTAAGGTCTCTGCCCTCGGAAGACGCCCCCTCCACTTATTCCCTTGGATAGCATCAAGGCCAGAGAGAGGTGGACAGCTCTGTCTTGGGATTTTAGATCTGAGACCTCAGCAGTTCTCAGGCTGAATGATACTGGAAATGACCAGTTCTTTACAGGGAGACTCCGCCTTCCCCAGGATCCCTTGGGACCGCCCTGTGCAGGATAACTACTTGCCTCCATTCTGCAAGTGACAGCAGGAGCTAAGGATACCACAGCAGATGAGACCCAGTTTCTACCTATTTGGGGCTCATGGTGCACACATTAGGAACCCCCTCTTTTTCCTTCCCTGTCACACCTCCCCACCCCCATCTCTTTTCACTCATCCTCACCTTTGCTAGCTTTCAGGAACCACAGCCCGCGGCAGAAGGGTGAACACACACCAGAATTCACATGGCAAGGCAAGAGGTGCTCAATGCGCTTTTAATTATTTATTATTTTTTTCTTGAGACAGAATCTCACTCTGTTGTCCAGGCTGGAGTGCAGTGGCACGATCTTGGCTCGCTGCAGCCTCTGCCTTCCAGGTTCAAGTGATTCTCCTGCCTCAGCCTCCCAAGTAGCTGGGATTACAGGCACCTGCCACCAGCCTCAGCTAATCTTTGTAGTTTTAGTAGAGAAGGGGTTTCGCCATGTTGGCCAGGTTGGTTTTGAACACCTGACCTCAGGTAATCCACCTGAGCTTCACTCCCAAAGTGCTGGGATTACAGGCGTGAGCCACTGCGCCCAGACTGAATGCCTCCCTGGCAACGGCCTTCATAGAGGCACATGGCTGAATCTCAGCCCAGCTTCATGGATGAGTCACCTCAGACAAGCTATGTACTCTCTTGGGGTCCCAGCCTCCTTGCTTTTTGGGTTTTTGTTGTTTGTTGTTGTTGTTTGAGACAAAGAATCTTGCTCTGTTGCCCAGGCTGGAGTGCAGTGGTGTGATTTCCACTCACTGCAACCTCTGCCTCCCGGGTTCAAGCAATTATCCTGTCTCGGCCTCCCGAGTAGCTAGGATTATAGGTGTGTGCCACCATGCCCAGATAATTTTTTTTTATCTTTAGTAGAGATGGGGTTTTTCCATATTGGCCAGGCTGGTCTCCTGACCTCAAGTGATCGGCCCACCTCAGCCTCCCAAAGTGCAGGCATGAGCCACCATGCCCCGCCTGCTTCCTTGTTTTCAAAACTAGGGGTGGGGGTGTTAGATATCATGGTCTCCAGAGCTTCCTCCTCTAAAACATCTGCTGAGCCTGAAGCACATGCTTCTGAGTCCTCTCAGCCCTGTCAGATCCTGGCTTTCTGAGGATGAATTTTATTTTTGGAAGCAGCCAAAAGCCACTCTGTAGTGCCAACTTTGGTGACTAAAGTGGGTGACAGTGCGGGGAGATGCCATGTTTGGTCAGAAATGAGGGTAACTAGAAACTAGCAGGGCTAGTCTCCACTCTGTCTCTACTAAAAATACCAAAATTAGCTGAGCATGGTGGCGTGTGCCTGAAGTCCCAGCTACTTGGGAGGCTGAGGCAGGAGAATTGCTTGAACCCAGGAGGTGGAGGTTGCAGTGAGCCGAGATTGCGTCACTGCACTCCAGCCTGGGCAACAGAGTAAGACTCTGCCTCAAAAAAAAAAAAAAAAAATCCAAAAATAGATCCCATCTCTGACTGCCAGTGGAGAGGTCCTCTGTCCTCATCACTTTTCTCTGAACCTCAGTTTCCTAGTCCGTAAAATGGCGAAGGGAAGGGGTTAGACTCTCGTCCAGACCTAGAATGTCTTTCTCAAGTGCTCAAGTTAGGAGTGTCTTGCTCTTAAAGCACTTTAGGGATTTCCTTGTTCTTTGAGGGCCTTCCAGGCCCCCCATTCTCTTGAACCACGGCAGGGGCTCTCACAATTTCATGGTGCTATGTGCCAATATGACCACCAGGTGGCAGAACAGTCCTATCTTGGAATCCATCAGCCTTCATCAGCCTAGAGCGCTCCACAATTACCAACAGCCCTGCCTGGGGCTGGCCCCACCGGGGCAACCAGAGACGGAAATGAATAGACCTCGCCCCTGCTCAGTAGCAGGAGCTCCTGAAGCTCACAAGAGTGGTCCATCAGAGAATCCCTGTAGGGCCCACCTCCTCTCCCCTTCAAGTCCTCAGTCCTACAATTTGGGGATCTCCAAACTCCCAAGCCCAGCACTCAGTATTCTCTGCAGTCAGCTCTCACCTCCAGGCTCACTGCCTGCACTCCCAAATCTGAGTCACAAGGATGAAAGTTAGTAAGAGGATCCCGCAACGTGCACTTCCTGGCTGGGCAGCGGAGGGGGATGCTCGGAACTGGGCATCACTAGATTCTGCCTGGAAAGAGGGGTTGGGGCCAGCCAAGGGCTGGGACAACAGCAGCTGGAGGCTGCTGAGGCTGGAGGCCTGTGGCTTCCTGTGAAGAACTGGGGAGCCACTTCCTTTAAGCAGATGGCTGGGAAGAGGGGTGGAAGATGAGGGAGCATGGGCTTCCTGGCTTAGGAGGAGGAAAAGGGGTCCCAGCAAGGCCCCATGAAGAGGCCCAGAGCAGCCTTCTCTTTCCCTCATTCTGGGTCTCCACGGAACAGCAGCTGAGACAAGGGAAGGTCATACTTGTGAAGCTGTGTGCCGTAAGGCCACAGAAAGGATCGTCAGGTTAGGGAGCCGGCTCATCTGTAGAGGCCAGTAAAGAAATGGAGTCTTGGTTATTCCAAAAAGCAAGTCCAAGCACCTACCCCCAGTATCCAAGTCCCAGTCACCAGCCTCAGAACCCAGACCCATAAGTCCAGCCCCAAGTACTTGGCCTCAAATATCCAGCCCCCATTTCCCAGCTCCAAGCACCAGTTCTCAGAGAAGCATCCAGTGTGGAGTCAGAAGCTGGCAGGGGTCCAGTGGTTCATTATCTGTGTGAACAAATGGCATTGCCCCAGCGAACAGCTTTTTTTTTTTTTTTTTTTTGAGACAAGGTCTTGCTCTGTCGCCCAGGCTGGAGTGCAGTGGTGCAATCACGGCTCACTACAGCCTGCAGCCTTGACCTGGCCTCAAGTGATCCTCCCACCTAAACCTCCCACTTTGGGATCACAAGCACAGACCACCACAAGTGGCTAGTTTTTTGGGTTTTTTTTTTTGTTGTTGTTGTTTTGTTTTGTTTTTTTGTTTGTTTGTTTTTTTTTAGATGGAGTCTTGCTCTGTCGCCTGGGCTGGAGTGCAATGGTGCAATCTCAGCTCACTGCAACCTCCGCCTCCCGGGTTTAAGCGAGTCTCCCACCTCAGCCTCCTGAGTAGCTGGGATTACAGGTGCATACCATCATGCCCAGCTAATTTTTGTATGTTTAGTAGAGATAGGGTTTTGCCATGTTGGCCAGGCTGATCATGAACTCCTGACCTCAGGTGATCTGCCTGCCTTGATGAACCAGTAGAGCTTGCCTCCCAGCACCCATAGCTACCGGAGAACAGCGTGGTTTAGCAGCTCTAGGTTCTCATCTGCAGAAGGGGTAGGAGTCTTCACCCAGCCATGATCACTCATCCTCAGAACCCACCAAACTAAGCCCATTTCTCCTTCACTCTTTCACACTTGGGTCAAAAGCACCTCTAGGAATGCAGGGGCCTAGGCCAGACACCTTCCTAAAGGCTTCTCCTCCTAACTTTTCAATGATGGCTCCTTCACTCTTTGGTCTTCACTCAAATGTCACCTTCTCAGAGAAGCCCTCCCTGACCACCTATTTTAAAATAGCCTTCCTCCTGAAATACCACAGAGGGATAAATTAGTAAAATAAAAAATAAAAATAAAAAAGAAAGAAAACAGCCTCCTTGTTTCTATCACAGTAATTGCCAACTTGTCCGCACCTTGGAATCACCTGAGAGCTTAAAATTCTACTGATACCTGTGTCTCACAGTGTGGGAACAACTTGCTCTAGCATGTCACTCTTTTAATTTTCTGTATAAAGCCAGTAAAGAAATGGAGCCTTGGTTACTCCAAGAAATAGGCCCAAGAATCCAACCTCAAATACCCAAGTCTAAGCCTCCGGCCTCAGAACCCAGCTCCAAACACCCAAGTCCAAAGTTTTACATATATTTACTCTTTTCATCCTTACAACAATTCTCTTGGGTGTTCTTAGGATTCGCATTTTACAGATGAAGAAATCAAGGTACAGAGAGGTTAAATAACTTTCCTAAGGCAAACAGCTAGCAAGTGATGGGACAAGGATTTGAACCCAGAGAGTCTGCCTCT